CTCTTCTGGATCATCCAAATGCACTCTAGCAAACTTCAGACGGGCCTGGACATGTACTGGCTTAAGCAGGGGGACACGTCTGCACTGCAGGATTTGAGTCCCTGGCGACGTAGTGTGTTACTGATGGTAGGCTTTGTTACTTTGGTCCCAGCTCTCTGCAGGTCATTCACTAGGTCCCCCCGTGTGGTTCTGGGATTTTTGCTCACCGTTCTTGGGATCATTTTGACCCCACGGGGTGAGATCTTGCGTGGAGCCCCAGATCGAGGGAGATTATAAGTGGTCTTGTATGTCTTCCATTTCCTAATAATTGCTCCCACAGTTGATTTCTTCAAACCAAGCTGCTTACCTATTGCAGATTCAGTCTTCCCAGCCTGGTGCAGGTCTACAATTTTGTTTCTGGTGTCCTTTGACAGCTCTTTGGTCTTGGCCATAGTGGAGTTTGAGTGTGACTGTTTGAGGTTGTGGACAGGTGTCTTTTATACTGATAACAAGTTCAAACAGGTGCCATTAATACAGGTAACGAGTGGAGGACAGAGAAAACTCTTAAAGAAGAAGTTACAGGTCTGTGAGAGCCAGAAATCTTGCTTGTTTGTAGGTGACCAAATACTTATTTTCCACCATAATTTGCAAATAAATTCATTAAAAATCCTACAATGTGATTTTCTGGATTTTTTTTCCTCAATTTGTCTGTCATAGTTGACGTGTACCTATGATGAAAATGACAGGCCTCTCTCATCTTTTTAAGTGGGAGAACTTGCACAATTGGTGGCTGACTAAATACATTTTTCCCCCACTGTATCACCCCCTGGACAGGACACTAGTCTATCTCCTATAGTATATCACCCCGTGGACAGGACACTAGTCTATCTCCTATAGTATATCACCCCATGGACACTAGTCTATCTCCTATAGTATATCACCCCCTGGACACTAGTCTATCTCCTATAGTATATCACCCCCTGGACAGGACACTAGTCTATCTCCTATAGTATATCACCCCCTGGACACTAGTCTATCTCCTATAGTATATCACCCCCTGGACACTAGTCTATCTCCTATAGTATATCACCCCCTGGACAGGACACTAGTCTATCTCCTATAGTATATCACCCCCTGGACAGGACACTATTCTATCTCCTATAGTATATCACCCCCTGGACACTAGTATATCTCCTATAGTATATCACCCCCTGGACAGGACACTAGTCTATCTCCTATAGTATATCACCCCCTGAACAGACACTAGTCTATCTCCTATGGTATATCACCCCCTGGACAGGACACTAGTCTATCTCCTATAGTAATAAATCACCCCCTGGACAGACACTAGTCTATCTCCTATAGATAATCCCCTGGATCACCCCCCGGACACTAGTCTATCTCCTATAGTATATCACCCCCTGGACAGGACACTAGTCTATCTCCTATAGTATATCACCCCCTGGACACTAGTCTATCTCCTATAGTATATCACCACCCACCACCCCCTGGACAGGACACTAGTCCTATCTCCTATAGTCAATAATCACCCCCTTGGACACTAGTCTATCTCCTATAGTAATAATCACCCCCCTGGACACTAGTTATCTCCTATAGTATATCACCCCCTGGACACTAGTCATCTTCCTATAGTATATCACCCCCTGGACAGGACACTAGTCTATCTCCTATAGTAATATCCACCCCCTGGACACTAGTCTATCTCCTATAGTAATCACCCCTGGCAGGACACTAGTCTATCTCCTATAGTATATCACCCCCTGGACAGGACACTAGTATATCTCCTATAGTAATCACCCCCTGCATTCTCTCCATAAACCCCCCCTGGACACTAGTCTATCTCCTATAGTATATCACCCCCTGGACACTAGTCTATCTCCTATAGTATATCACCCCCTGGACAGGACACTAGTCTATCTCCTATAGTATATCACCCCCTGGACACTAGTCTATCTCCTATAGTATATCACCCCCTGGACAGGACACTAGTCTATCTCCTATAGTATATCACCCCCCTGGCACACTAGTCTATCTCCTATAGTATATCACCCCCTGGACAGGACACTAGTCTATCTCCTATAGTATATCACCCCCTGGACAGGACACTAGTCTATCTCCTATAGTATATCACCCCCTGGACACTAGTCTATCTCCTATAGTATATCACCCCCCTGGACACTAGTCTATCTCCTATAGTATATCACCCCCTGACAGGACACTAGTTTATCTCCTATAGTATATCCCCCCCCTGGACAGACACTAGTCTATCGCCTATAGTACATCACCCCGCTGGACATAGTCACTCCTATAGTATACACCCCCTGGACAACCTAGTCTATCTCCTATAGTATATCACCCCCTGGACACTAGTCTATCTCCTATAGTATATCACCCCCTGGACACTAGTCTATCTCCTATAGTATATCACCCCCTGGACACTAGTCTATCTCCTATAGTATATCACCCCCTGAAAGGACACTAGTCTATCTCCTATAGTATATCACCCCTACAGACACCGTCTATCTTATAGATCCCCCCCTGGACGGACTAGTCTATCTCCTATAGTATATCACCCCCTGGACACTAGTCTATCTCCTATAGTATATCACCCCCTGAACAGGACACTAGTCTATCTCCTATAGTATATCACCCCCTGGACAGGACACTAGTCTATCTCCTATAGTATATCACCCCCTGGACAGGACACTAGTCTATCTCCTATAGTATATCACACCCCCCTGGACACTAGTCTATCTCCTATAGTATAAGTCAACCCCCTGGACGACACTAGTCTATCTCCTATAGTATATCACCCACCCCCTGGACAGGACACTAGTCTATCTCCTATAGTATATCACCCCCTGACCTGTCTATCCCTTAGTATATCACCCCCTGGACAGGACACTAGTCTATCTCCTATAGTATATCACCCCCTCAGACACTAGTCTATCTCCTATAGTATATCACCCCCTGGACAACTAGTCTATCTCCTATAGTATAATCCACCCCCTGGACAGGACACTAGTCTATCTCCTATAGTATAACACCCCCGGACACTGTCTATCTCATAGTATCCCCCCTGGACACTAGTCTATCTCCTATAGTATATCACCCCCTGGACAGGACCTAGTCTATCTCCATATATATATCACCCCCTAGACACTAGTCTATCTCCTATAGTATATCCCACCCCTGGACACTAGTCTATCTCCTATAGTATATCACCCCCTGGACAGGACACTAGTCTATTCTCCTATATTATATCACACCCCTGGACAGGACCTAGTCTATCTCCTATAGTATATCACCCCCCTGGACAGGACACTAGTCTATCTCCTATAGTATATCCCCCCTGGACAGGACACTAGTCTATCTCCTATAGTATATCACCCCCTGGACAGGACACTAGTCTATCTCCTATAGTATATCATCACCCCCTGGACAGTGACACTAGTCTATCTCCTATAGTATATCACCCCCTGGACAGGACACTAGTCTATCTCCTATATTATATCACCCCCTGGACACTAGTCTATCTCCTATAGTATATCACCCCCCCTGGACAGGACACTAGTCTATCTCCTATAGTATATCACCCCCCCTGGACAGGACACTAGTCTATCTCCTATAGTAATCAACCCCCCCTGGACAGGACACTAGTATTCCAGTCTGTAGTGAGGCAGCTGATGTACAGACACCATCTGGACAGGACACTAGTCTATCTCCTGTTTCTGAGTGAGGCACTATGTCGGACACCCCCTGGACAGAACTAGTCTATCTCCTGTATCCTCACCTGAGACATCTTGATCTACAAGAACAACCCCTGGACAGGACACTAGACACCAACAGTACAAATGGACCATATGTGGGGTAAAGTCACTATATCCAAGATTTCTCAGTTTTGTTTCACCCACTAAGAGGAGATGTAGTCATTGAGTACAGTTGACTGTCAAAGCACCATTGGAAGACCATCGATCGTGTGTAGGCATATGGTAACATGGTGACTGTCACAGCCCATATGTAGGAGAAATCTTACTACAGAACACCCTGAAGGAAAGAAAAGTACAAGGACATGGTGCGTAAAGCCCACTAATTAAGAAGATTTCTCAGTGGTCTGGTCACACCCAAGAGGAGGATGTAGTCTAGGTAACGGTGGTGACCTGTCAACAGCCATAATGTAAAGAGAAGATGTAGGCTAGGTAACAGTGGTGACCTGTCAACAGCCCATAATGTAGAGAAGGATGTAGCTAGGTAACGGTGGTGACCTGTCAACAGCCCATAATGTAAGAGAGGATGTAGTCTAGGTAACGTGGTGACCTGTCACAGCCCATAATGTAAAGAGAAGGATGTAGTCTAGGTAACGGTGGTGACCTGTCAACAGCCCATAATGTAAAGAGAAGGATGTAGTCTAGGTAACAGTGGTGACCTGTCAACAGCCCATAATGTAAAGAGAAGGATGTAGTCTAGGTAACAGTGGTGACCTGTCAACAGCCCATAATGTAAAGAGAAGGATGTAGTCTAGGTAACAGTGGTGACCTGTCAACAGCCCATAATGTAAAGAGAAGGATGTAGTCTAGGTAACGGTGGTGACCTGTCAACAGCCCATAATGTAAAGAGAAGGATGTAGTCTAGGTAACAGTGGTGAGGTGGTGTGTTGTGTCGTTTAGGGGTTCCCCGTCTCCAGGGGTAACGCAGCAGAATGTGTGACATCACAGCCTTCTACTTTATAACGTCTCTCTCGCTCGATTCACATTCAGACACATCCTGACTCTACAGGATAAAGAAGAGAGCTGAGACAAACCAAGTAACAACCTAAAAACCACATTAAAGGAACCTTAAAAACAACTTTAAAACAACTTTCAGGAAACAATAACCGGTTGGATTACAACTTGAAGAGACAAGGAAGTATTTTTCCTACGTATTCCACTCTTGAAGATAGAACAATATCATTATTTATTTGGACCTTTTTTTAGTAGTTTTATTTTTCTTCTCAAACAAAGATGGCTGCTTCATCTTGTTCTTCCTCCCTTGCTCCTCTTGTCCTCCTCATAGTCCTCTCCTCTCTATCACTGAGTGTGGAGTCCCGACCCTCGCCCCAAACATCACCTCGGAAACATGACATACAGGTAAGTGTGGTGCCTTAATCATCACCACCTTCATCATCACCGTCTTCATAAAGAGGAACTCTGTGACGCTTTGTGAAGACGGACCCAGGGAATATGTAACAGAGTTTGTTTAACTTATTTCTGTCCCCATTTGGGGTTTTTTAACCAAACAACACAAAAAGGGAAACCTTTAAAAGAGCTGAGAGGGGAGGAGAAGAGAGAGAGAAGAGAGGGGAGGAGAGAGAGGGGGAGGAAAAAGAAAAAGGGAAGAGATAAAAGGAGAACGCTTCCCCGGGGCGCCGCCCCTCGGCCCAATTTTTCCCCCCCTTTTCGGAACCCCCCCCCTTGCTCCTCCCCCCGCGAGCGTTTGCGGCTCCGCACTTTCCCCCCCCCCTCCCCGCCCTTTTTTCCCGCCCCCCCCTCGCCTTTTTCTCTCCCCTCCCTTTTGCCCCCCCCTCTCTCTCGGCGCCCCGGGGCGGCGCGCGCGGGGCGCGCGCGCGGGCCGAGGCGGGGCGTTTGGGGGGTGGGGGGGTCGGCGGCGGGGCCCCGGGGGACCCGCGCGCAAATTCTCCCCGCTCCTTTCTCGCTCCTTCTCTCCCGCCGGGTCTTAATCTACTCTTCCCGCTTCCACATTTAAAAATTTCTCTCTCTCTTCCTTTTCCCCTTCCCCGGAACAGTGTCCTACTTTAGTCCCTTTAAAAAATCCTTCCAAAAACCCTTCCCCAATTTAAAGTAAAAAACCCAGTAAACTACTACTTAGTTAAATTTTTTAAAAAAAATTTGGGTTTTTAAAAACTTTAAGGGATCAAAAATCCCTGTTAATAAAAAAATTTTAAATATCAAAAGTCAAAATTAAATAATTTTAAATTTCCCTTTTAAATTTAAACAAACAGACGGCAACCATTTACTTTTTTTTTTTTATTTTAAAAAGGGTAGCCGGGACACACTCCAACACTCCCCCATCATTTACAAACGAAGGGATTGTTTATTAGTCCAAACAAGGCCTTTTGGGTTACCAGGATGTTCTCTTGTAATTTTTGTTTAATTTGGGCCCTTTTTCGTCCTCAACCCTTTTGAAATGTAACGAACTTTTGGGGGTCCGGGGAAAATTATTTGGGGTAAAATTTCATTTTTTTTTCTTTAGGGTGTATTTAAATAAAAGTAAAAGTTTTTCCCAAAAAATAAATATAAATAAAGTAAAGATCCCCAAAAAATCCCTTAAATATTTTTTAAATAAATTTTTTTTAAATACTTTACCCACTGTTTTATTATCATATTATCCTGAACCCAAAAAAATAAAAAGCAACATGCAACCAAATTTCCCAAAAATTTTTTCGATTACCGTTCTTAAGGAACCATCAATTGAAATGAATTTCTTTTACACCCTGGGGGATTTTCCCCTACTGGGAAAACGATATTGGGCCCGCTAGCACAAAAATACCCTTTTTGAAAAGGGTCAGAAAAACCCGTAACTGGTGTGACCCCATTTGCCTCATCAGCGCCAAAAACTTCTCCTTCCCCATAGAGTTTATCAGGATGGTTTTTTGTTTGGGCCCGCAGAATGTTTTTCCCCCCCACATCGATCCAAGAACCCAAAAATATCCCTGGGTTTACTGTCTTGGGGAGTTGCAGGCCCCGGGTGAACCCGGGCTTTCAGCTTCCCGATTGGGGTACAATCCTTTCGGTAAGGGGGCCCTCGTTTCATCTAAACATGAGGTGATGGGAGCAATGAATGGCCCCGACTATGGGCCCGGAATCGTCACGGTATCGCTGTGCATTTAAATTACCCCCCCTAAAAGCAATTGTGTTCGTTGTCCCCTGCTTATGCCTTCCCCTGCCTGCCTGCCTGGGCCCCCCTGCCTGCCTCCTGCCTGCCTGCCCCCGCCTGCCTGCCCGCCTGCCGGGCCCCCTGCCCTAAACCTAACCCCCCCCACCCCCCAGGGGGGACTCCCGTTTCCAAAACGTTACATCACCAAACCCCTCGCCCACACGATGCCATCCCGTTTTCCGGGGGGTTTTGACGCCAACGTCAAATTCTCTAAAAAGACATTGGGGGGCGGGTTATGGTAGAGAAATTAAAAATTTAATTCTTTGGGAAAAGCTCTGGTGGGCCTTCCTGCTCACATGCCAACCCATTCTTCCTCAAAATTAAGACAAATTTTGTGACATTTTTGTTGTGTACAAAAAATGCACATTTTAGAGTGGGGCCTTTTTTTGTCTCCAGCACAAAAGGGGCCCCTGTGTAATGACAAAGCTGTTTAAAATCACTTCTTGATTGCCCAGCTGTCAATGGATTAAACTTGGGAAAGGGAAAGCTCACTAACAGAGAGAATAAGCTTTTTGGCATAAGGAAAATTTTTCTAGGTCTTTTAATTTTTTTTTTAAAAATCATGAACCCCAAAGGGGGAAACCCAAATCTTTTCATAGTGTTTTTATTTTTTTTTTTTCATTTTACTAAAAAAAAAAAAAAAAAAACTGTTTTTAAAAAATTTAACTTATAATGAATTTAGAAAATTTTTTCCCTAAGAAAAAGTGTGATTTAAACAAACAACCTATCCTGCCAGTGTTTATACAAAACCCCCAAAATGGACATTACCATTGATAATACCCAATTGTTTCAGTTTTCCCCCCGCTCGTGCAAAAGACCTTGGCCCTTTTTTTCCAATTGGGGGAAAAAAAGCCCCCCCCAATTTTTAAACCCTAACAGTGGGGGGAAAAAAAATTTTTTCCCCGCCACCAATTTTTTGGGTTCCTTTCTCCCCTTAAAAAAGAGAGGGCCCGTAATTTTCATCATGGTCAACGGGAACATGACCGAAAAAAATAGAAAAAAATTTCCCAAAAAACACATTGGAGGATTTTTTATGAATTTTTTTTTGGCAAAGGGTGGGTTTGGGAAAAAAAGTATTTGGTCGATAACAAAAAATTTCCTTTTTCAATACTTTGTTATATCCCCCCTTTGGGGGCATGACCCGTCAAAAAATTTTTTTGTAAATCTTTTACAAGGTTTTTCCCCCAAAACTGGTTTTCTTGTTTTTGGCCCATTCCCCCTCGATCCCTCTAGGCATTTTGTTTTGGGGCTGGGGCTGGGCAACACGACTTTTTAACTTTCCCCTCCCAAAAATTTTTCCCATGGGGGTTTGGGCTTGGAGCTTTCCCACCCCCTCCAGGCCCCTTTAAATCTTCTTACGAACCCCTCCCCTTTGTTGCCCGGGCGGGTGTTTGGGATCATTTTTCCCTGCGGGAAAAACCCCCAGGGCCCCCCTTTAAACTTCAAATGCCCTTTTCTGAAGGGGAAAGGGGGTTTTTAATCAAATCTCAAAGATACCTTGGGGCCCCCTTTTATTCTTTTCTTTAATTTGGTCATTTGTCCCGGGCCCCTTTGGGGAAAAAAAAAACCCCCCAAAACCCTGATGTTTCCAACCCCCCTGCTTCACGTAGGTTTTGGTGTTTTTTGGATCCAAATCAGCATTCCTTTTTCCTCCCCAAAACCCAAAATTTTTAGGTTTTTTTTTTCCAAAAAATTATTTTGGTTTCCCCCTCTCCCCAATGCATTCCCCCCCAAACCCTTCTGGATCATCCAAAAACACTCTAAACAAACCTTTAGAAAAGGGGGGCCGGACTTGGGGACTGGCTTAAACAGGGGCCCCGTCTCCCCACTGCAGGATTTTAGTCCCCCGGGGGCTTTTTGGTTCCTTTATTTGGGAGGGTTTGTTTACTTTTGGCCCCCCGCTCCCTTCCCGCTCTCATTATTTTCCCGGGCCCCCCTTGGTTTTTTCCCCCCCCTTTTTTTCTGGGATTTTTTGCCTCACCCCTTTTTTGTGATTCCCTTTTGGCCAAAATTTTGGGCCCCCAAAGGGGGGGTTTTTTTTTGGCTTGGTTTTTTTTGGGCCCGGCGGCCCCCGCCCCCCCTTTTTTTGGGCGTTATCCCCCTTCAATTTTCCCCTTTCCTTTTAATTTTCTTAATTTTCCTTTTTGCTCCCCCAGTTTTTTTTTTTTCCAAAAACCCAATCTTCCCCTTCCCCCATTGCAGATTCCCGTCTTCCCAGCCTGGTTGGGAGGTCTACCTTTTTTTTTTCTGGTGTCCCTTTTACAGCCCCTTTGGGCTTTTCCCAGTGGGTTTGGGGGTTTGAAAGGTTTTGGGAAAAAATTGTGGGCCCGGTGGGCTTTTTAATAAATGAAAAACAAGTTTCCCAAAAGGTGCCATTAAAAACAGGTAATGGTTTTGGGGACGGGCCTTCCCCATTTTTTTTCTGGGCATGTTTTCCTTTTAAACCCTTTTGGGAAAATTTTTAAATCCTCACAAAAATTGGGAAAAAATTTTAAAGGTTCGCCTCTTTTTTTCCCCCCTTTTTAAAAAAACAAAAAGGGGGTTTAAAACTTGCAAAAAAATTGGGAAAACAAATTTTTTTCCCCAAATTAAATTGGGCCAAAAAATTTCCCTTTAAAACCGGGTTTTAAAAACATTCAAAAAACCCAAAAAAAAACAAAAAACTTTTGACCTAAATAATATTCAAATTTAAAAAAGGAAACTACCAATAAACCAACCATTAAAAAAAAAACCCCCTTTTTAACCCAAATTTTTTCTGGAGAGGAAAGCCCAAAAAACCCCCTCCCCCAAACCACTTCCCCCCCCTTTTTAAAAGGCCCTTTATTGGGGGGCCTTTTCAATGCAAAAGAACAGTGTGGTTTTCCCCCTGGCCCCCTGGTCCCCCCCTGCAGGGGAGTTTTTGATCATCACAACCTATCACCTGCACATTAAGAGCCTTTTCTGTTCACATAGTTGAACTCGTTTTGGGATGGTGATTTTATGGCCACGTGGGTGCCGTCTGTTGCTCTGTTCGTATTCAGGAACCCAATGATGGTATCATGGCAAAGAAACCCCTCTTGACTTCAACCTGTTGTGCGATGGTGTATGGAAATTGTATGTAACTGTTTGTTTTGCTGATGATTGCATCCAAAACATCAACTCATTGAGGGCTGTGAGACGCCGGTAGTCAAGCTCCCGCTGAAAAGTGCCCGTTGCCAAAAACCCGAGGGTGGATAGCACGTTGATGTGCACCTGAATGTCATGGGTTTGCCTTTAAAGTAGGTCTCAAATCCTCACAAAGTCCTACAATGGAAATTATACTGGATCTCATGGGTCAGTCTGTACGTTCTGCAAGAAAGTCCCACCTGTCTCTAAAAACACGCTCTCGTGCCAAATCTTCCAACAGAGCAAGATCAGCCATCTCTCATTGGATTTCCCATTATCTCAGTCTTTTATAGTATTTACACAATGGTTTACCTTTCACACCTCTGATTTAACAAATTACTGTAATTTATATGGATTATTATCGTGACAAATGCACTGATGTAGTCAAATTATATGATAAAGCCTGTCAAGATATGTTGCATGAATTCACAATGGAAATAGAAAAATGTTGCCCTCAGAACAGCCTCAATTCGTCGGGGCATGTCAAAAGCGTTCCACAGGGATGCTGGCCCATGTTGATACACACAGGAAACTGTTGAGCTTTAAAAACCCAGCAGCGTTGCAGTGCTTGACACACTCAAACCGGTGCGCCTGGCTTCCATGTTTCAGACACAGAGAGAAGTGTTGTTTTGGACTGGGTGTAGCATAAACATTGAAATCTCTCCCCTTCCCCCTGTTTTCCTCCCTCCCCCCTCCCCATTTCCTTTCCCCCCCTTCTCTTCTCTCCTCGTTTACCTTCCTCCCCCGCTCTCAACGATCATCGGATTACATCCACTGCACTTTCTCCTCTCTCATAACCGTCCCAGTTCTCTCCTCTTAAACTATGTTCCCTCCCTCTTCGTCGGCGTCAACTTCCCGCTCGGCCCAATACCCCAGAACTTTCTAAAAACCCCCCCAGCGGCGTGCTGACATAAACCGTCCGCCTGCTCCTCTCTCCCCCCGACGGCCGCTCTCTCTGCTCGGCTCATCTGGCTCGTCCTCGTCCCCCACTCCACCTCCCGGACCCCTCTCGTCCCGGCTCATCACCCCCTGCCTTCCCCCCTTCCTCTCTTCATGAAATCCCACTCTCTCCCCCCAGTCCACCAAACCCAAAACGCGCTCTAATCCCCTCCTCCTCTTCTCCGCCCCCACCGCCTCGCCTCCCTCTCCTTTCTCGTCCTCTCCTCCGCCCCTTCCTCTCTCTCCCCCCTCCTGCCCCCTCCTCTCTTCTCTCCGGTTCCACCCTCCCCATCCCTCTCTCGTCTCTCCTCCCCCCTCCTCTCTCTCTCTCCTCTCCCCCTCCAGGTACTAGATAATCTCTTCAGCGCTCAACTCCGCTCTCTGATCCTCAACCAACCAGACGTCACCTTTGAAGGTTCCACTTCTGACCCTGCTCCTTCCTACCACCATCCCTCCCAGGGATTGGCTGGTCGCAGCATGGGGGCGGGCCAGGGGGCGGGGCCTGTGGTCCCCAGGTTGTTCCTAGACTTTCTGCGCCAACAGAGGATGTTCCGTGGGCGGAGCAGGAAGAGCGCCACCGCCAGGGGATGCTTCGGCATGAAGGTGGACCGCATCGGATCTATCAGCGGCCTGGGATGCTGATTGGACAACCACCAGTGGCCTTGTGTTCTGATTGGCTACCTTTCACCCCACTACTTCCTGTGTGTGTCAAAGACAGAGGGAATGCTGGGAGATCTCTCTCACCGACAGTCAGACGGATGGATGGAACATTCCCAACCCTTGATATCTAACCCCTGAACTATGAACTGTGATCCTGTGTGACTGTAGAGGTCATCTCCCTGACCCCACGTGACCTTTAGGTGTTCTGAGGCTCCATGTGGGAACAAATACTAATGACCTTTGACCTCCAACCCCTGGCTCTGTTACAGCCAGTACAACTAACTCTGGTGTGTGTGTGTGTGTGTGTGTGTGTGTGTGTGTGTGTGTGTGTGTGTGTGTGTGTGTGTGTGTGTGTGTGTGTGTGTGTATAATGTGTGTGTGTGTGTGTGTTTATAATGTATGTGTGTGTGTGCATAATGTGTGTGTGTGTGTATAATGTGTGTGTGTGTGTATAATGTGTGTGTATAATGTGTGTGTGTGTGTATAATGTGTGTGTGTATAATGTATGCGTGTGTGTGCATAATGTGTGTGTGTGTATAATGTGTGTGTATAATGTGTGTGTGTGTGTATAATGTGTGTGTGTGTGTATAATGTGTGTGTGTGTGTGTGTGTATAATGTGTGTGTGTGTTTATAATGTGTGTGTGTGTGTGTATAATGTGTGTGTGTGTGTGTATAATGTGTGTGTGTGTGTGTGTGTGTGTTATTCCATTGTATTCATGTATAACCTGACAGGCCTTCTGTTGTGTAAACTTGTATGTGAAACTGAGACCAACATGTGTCAAACATGATTACATCTTCCCTGTTCCCTGTAACACGCTACCAGTAACATGTTAACATGACCTGTTGTGTGTTCTACTGTCTAACTGTTCCCTGTAACACGCTACCAGTAACATGTTAACATGACCTGTTGTGTGTTCTACTGTCTAACTGTTCCCTGTAACACGCTACCAGTAACATGTTAACATGACCTGTTGTGTGTTCTACTGTCTAACTGTTCCCTGTAACACGCTACCAGTAACATGTTAACATGACCTGTTGTGTGTTCTACTGTCTAACTGTTCCCTGTAACACGCTACCAGTAACATGTTAACATGACCTGTTGTGTGTTCTACTGTCTAACTGTTCCCTGTAACACGCTACCAGTAACATGTTAACATGACCTGTTGTGTGTTCTACTGTCTAACTGTTCCCTGTAACACGCTACCAGTAACATGTTAACATGACCTGTTGTGTGTTCTACTGTCTAACTGTTCCCTGTAACACGCTACCAGTAACATGTTAACATGACCTGTTGTGTGTTCTACTGTCTATATTTGGTCTGGTCTGGTATGGTTTGATATGGTTTATATTTATCACTGGCAGTGGAGCAGGATTGGGCTCAAATCAGACCTTCAATACAGTCAATTATTTAATGAATCGATCATTCTGGTATCGAAAGCTCAATTGGCCCCAACCCTGCAGGAGTATATATGGATGGAGAGAACTGCAAGGTTTATTTTCCATGATGGAAGTCAAAAGCACTTCTACTAGACTAAGAGCGTTCCTCCCCCTCTCTCTCTCTCTCTCTCTCTCTCTCTCTCTCTCTCTCTCTCTCTCTCTCTCTCTGAAATAATAAAACTGTTCTGGCCAAGTCCTCCTGTGCCAAACTGAACATCTCTCTGTCGACATTTTTGAATCAAACAAGGAAATGTTCGTTGACTAAATGGTCATTGAAATACTGTTATGGTGATTGATACATGGTGCGTGTCCGCCCTCTTGTGGATTAATGCGGTATGACATGCACTGGCAATTTACCATAGTAACTGCGCATTTTGGCTCTATTTCTAGTTGGTTAAACAGAAGTAAAAGCACTGGTAAAACAAACTCCGTGGTAAAATTGTCCAAACGGATCATCTCTTATAAGTCTAGAAACATTTAGAGTCACATGAGATATGTCAAGACACAAATCAGGGATTCTTGAAAGACGGGACAATCTCTACTTTTCTTTCACAAATATTTGTCTTAATATTAACATTTGAAATATATATTAAATCAAATGTTATTTATCACATGCACCGAATACATCTGGTGTAGACTTTACAGTGAAATGCTTGCTTACGAACCTTTCCGAACGATGCAGAGTTGAAAAGATTATTATAAAAAATAAAATGGTAACTAACACAAGAGGAATAAAATAAAATACACAAGAACGGAGCTATATATATATATATTTCTCACTTTTATTTAACCAGGTAAGCCAGTTGAGAACAGGTTCTCATTTACAACTGTGACCTGGCCAAGATAAAGCAAAGCAGTGCGATAAAAACAACACAGAGTTACATATGGGGTAAACAAAACATAAAGTCAAAAATACAAACAGAAAATCTATATACAGTGTGTGCAAATGTAGTAAGTTATGGAGGTAAGGCAATAAATAGGCCATAGTGCAAAATAATTACAATTAGTATTAACACTGGAATGATAGATGTGCAAGAGATTATGTGCAATAAGAGATACTGGGATGCAAATGAGCAAAATAAATAACAATATGGGGATGAGGTAGTTGGGTGGGCTAATTACAGATGGGCTGTGTACAGGTGCAGTGATCGGTAAGCTGCTCTGACAACTGATGCTTAAAGTTAGTGAGGGAGATAAGAGTCTCCAGGTTCAGAGATTTTTGCAATTCGTTCCAGTCATTGGCAGCAGAGAACTGGAAGGAATGGCGGCCAAAGGAGGTGTTGGCTTTGGGGATGACCAGTGAGATATACCTGCTGGAGCGCAGACTACGGGTGGGTGCTGCTATGGTGACCAATGAGCTGAAATAAGGCGGGGATTTGCCTAGCAGTGATTTATAGATGGCCTGGAGCCAGTGGGTTTGGCGACGAATTTGTAGTGAGGGCCAGCCAACAAGAGCGTACAGGTCACAATGGTGGGTAGTATATGGGGTTTGGTGACAAAACGGATGGCACTGTGATAGACTACATCCAATTTGCTGAGTAGAGTGTTGGAGGCTATTTTGTAAATGACATCGCCGAAGTCAAGGATCGGTAGGATAGTCCGTTTTACGAGGGCATGTTTGGCAGCATGAGTGAAGGAGGCTTTGTTGCGAAATAGGAAGCCGATTCTAGATTTAACTTTGGATTGGAGATTCTTAATGTAAGTCTGGAATGCAGAGTTTACAGTCTAACCAGACACCTAGGGATTTGTAGTTGTCCACATACTCTAGGTCAGACCCGTCGAGAGTAGTGATTCTAGTCGGGGAGTACCAGTACCCGATCAATGTGGAGCTATATACAGGGAGTACCAATACCAGATCAATGTGGAGCTATATACAGGAAGTACCAGTACCAGATCAATGTGGAGCTATATACAGGGAGTACCAGTACCAGATCAATGTGGAGCTATATACAGGGAGTACCAGTACCAGATCAATGTGGAGAGGTACGAGGTATTTGAGGTAGACATGTACATGAAGGCAGGGTAAAGTGACTAGGCATCAGGATAGATAATAATAAGGTATTTGAGGTAGATATGTACATGAAGGCTGGGTAAAGTGACTAGGCATCAGGATAGATAATAATAAGGTATTTGAGGTAGATATGTACATGAAGGCTGGGTAAAGTGACTAGGCATCAGGATAGATAATAATAAGGTATTTGAGGTAGATATGTACATGAAGGCAGGGTAAAGTGACTAGGCATCAGGATAGATAATAATAAGGTATTTGAGGTAGATATGTACATGAAGGCAGGGTAAAGTGACTAGGCATCAGGATAGATAATAATAAGGTATTTGAGGTAGATATGAGTGATGACAAAGTGATGTTAGGATATATAAGTTATCCTGTAAGAGCTTTTGTGCCGAACACATTACGTTGTTACAGGTGTCAAGCTTATGTGCATGTGGCAGCAGTGTGTAGGAGGGAGGTTCCTAGGTGTGAGAAGTGTGCAGAAGGGCATGAGACAAGGGAATGTGCAGCATTAGGGAAAGTAGTGGAATGTGTTAATTGTAGACGTGCCCATGGGGCTGGGGATCTGAAATGTCCCATGCGAGAGAGGCAGGTTGAGGTTTCCAGGGTTAGAGTAGTGCAGAAGTTGTCATATGCTGAGGCAGTGAAGAAAGTAGAGGAAGATGGGTCAAGGGGGAGGGATCCTGAGAGGAGTGGTTAGTAGTAGATATGTACCAGTACAGAGGGATAAACCAACAAGTGATATGTTTCAGTAAGATTGGGATTTTAGCCATTTATAGCAATGGTTATCAACTGTACTGCAGGGATGGAACGTAAGTCGCAGAAAATTGAGGTTGTGGTGGCAGCTGCAGAGAGGTATTTGGGTGTGGAGAGACTTGACATCAGAAGAGTTACAGGGTGTGTTAAGTGGTGGTGTCCCATCCTTTCAGATTGTTGGCCTGAGATGGGACTACATTGATTTAAATAGTGGAGTAGGGTGGTGTTTTTATTATTTTTTTGTGAGTGTAGTGTTAGATGCTAGGGTATTTGGGTTGTACTCCAGTCTATTAGGTGGCGGTAATGCAACATTTATTGGATGCCAACCTCATCAAAGAAGTGTGGTATTCGATGCATGGTACTTGTATGGTAGTATAAGGAGTTGTACTCTAAATGGCATATTATTTGTATTATTTAAAGAGGTGTGGTATTCGATGCATGGTACTTGTATGGTAGTATAAGGAGTTGTACTCTAAATGGCATATTATTTGTATTATTTAAAGAGGTGTGGTATTCGATGCATGGTACTTGTGCGCCCTCTTCTGGATTCGTGCGGTATGACGTGCATGCACTGCCATAGCCAACGGCGCGGCTACACGTTGCTAGCTAGTTATAGTTAGCTATAAACTTTCCAGTCCAGAAGACAAGGCTGGGGAAAAATGTGTATATTGTTTGCTCTGCAAAATGAATGAAAATATGGATGTGAGACAGAGAAAAGTGTTCAAACTGCCGACCAACACAGAGAAGTATCGTGAAGCACATCCCAACGACGGTTAC